ATCCGAGTGATAATCGGGCACAACTATCCTATTCACGCGTCAATTTAACCACAAGGTTAACCCTGGTATCTTCCTTACAAGTTCCTTCGGCTCTTCCTCATTCAATCTCAGCCTGTTTGTTCGAGAGAGATTCTCCATTATCTCTTCAAACGTCTCCCATGACGGCTGAGTCAGCATCCCGACAAGAAAGTCAAACCGTAAAGTATAACAACTACTATCGACATTCCGAGATGTTTCTGCATCACGGGAATGAGGTCAGTAATCAGCTCTCGTCGCAATTCTTTGCTTCCCAACGTCGGGAACATCTTGCGAGGACCGCCGGCTGGAGGCCCAAGCCTTGGGATCCGTAAGGAATTTCGGAAACTCAGAAATCAGCTCGAACCGTGTACAGGGCGAGCGAGAGTTTCTCCACGATTGCGAAATTTCCCCTAAACCTACACGTCGGAATGAGGAGGTGATGCTTGTCGACTGAGTCGACTCGACTCCAATATGGTTGCCAGACGTCTGCACGCAGTTCCACCCGTAACGCCACTCTGAGAGACGCTCTTTAATCGCATTCTATCACTACAGCATGTTCAACTCAAATCGGCAGGCCAAGCGAATTATCCAAATTCATCCATTAGTTCAATAATCGACCCAAACTGTGAATAAATTACCCAAACTGTGAACAAATTACCCAAAAGTTTAATGAGGTATTCACCCGAATAATTTCCACAGTGGCTCAAGTCGAATCCCTGCACCGACAGACCCCTCTCGACAGTAATTCGTTAAACTCAATAACTTCATAAACTATCAGGAAGCCCACGACTAGTACGTGACAAACAAGCCGCGCATACACGCGCAGTAGTACTTCGAGAACGGAACAAATCTTTGAACATAGAAAAGGAGAAAACGCTCCGCTCCGCTAGACAGCCTCTGTATAATAGACAAACTGTGGGATCCCATCAAAGGGAATAAAGGAACGTCGTATACACAGTAATTGCATTTCCGTATGGTTTTTATAGGAATCAACAAGAAAGCAGGATTTCACTCTTCACGCTGATTCACCTCTTCGGTACGACTGTTAATCCATTCGAACATATCGTCAAACACCTGTGCAGAACAATTTTGGCATTTTCGTGGCGCGTGACGATTCACTCAGCAACTATCCACCATAATTACCTTTTGCGATTCTTCAGGTTCCTGCATGCCGGTGATGAAATGCCTCAGACCAGGATAGAGACATACTCTGGATTCGCGTTGAGCTGGTGACAAGTTGTACCTACAACGAGTGGCACCAAATGGACATGATTTGAATCCAACCCAAGTCAACCTTGGATACCACCCGGGTTACATCTCAACATCCGCGTGAGGATCCGTGATCTCATCAGCCGCTCCGTGGCACACAATAAAAGGTGTTTTCACCGACTTGAAATTCGCACTCACGAAATCCTGACCAGACGAAATGTCTCTGGCATCCACCCTCCATCACATAATCGTTCGGGAGAAAAATACCATTTTCTAGAACTTGACAATAGGTCCCCGGTTCGATCCCCGG